CAAAGCAATTTCTCTTCCCCGTCGATTCTGAGGTTGAGATCACCTAGCGAGATGGTACTGCGCCCGGTAGAACTCAAATCAGAAAGCAGACGGAGAAGCTGAGAGTCATCAGCTGCAGTAGAATTCGGAGGACGGTAAACAGCGATGAACCTTATTGAAGATAGGACATTAGAGTTACAGAGCTCAAAAGATAAGACATTAGAGTTGAATGTGTAATCAAGAGTGATATTTTTGGGAACTGAAAGGGAGTTGATCAGGCAGCAGACTCCGCCAACTTTTCTTCCTTCTCGGTCACGGCGATAAACAAAGTAAGGTAAATTAGCAACTAGTTCTCAGTCAACTACGTGGCTATTCAACCAAGTTTCAGTGATGATCACGATATCAGGTTTTTCAATATTCAAGAATGCATGCATGGCAATTTTATTCGTTAGGCTTTGAGCATTGAAGAGAAAGCAATGCAGGGTATAGGTTGCCGTGCTCGCTCAGAGGTTTCCCAACTTTTGAGATTGAGAAAGATCCGAAATCTTCCTGAGTTCTCCCTTTAAAACGATCCACTCGCGTTTTAATTTCCCTCTATTCCGTTCTCTCGTTTCCTGCCGTAGCTCGTATTCGTGCCTTCGTTCTTCAGCCGTCATGCTCTTCCTCATAAACACAATGGCTAAGCCCTCGGATCTCAAGCTTTTGGCGTTGGCCAATGCAGTTCGCCAGTGCGCCCTTGAGGGGAGCAGAATTTCCACCAGCCTGAGGCGGGAGGGGTAAAGCTTCCCTATCCTGTAGGTTACTGGACGGCACTCAACCTGCAAAATATCGAGTAGGCCAGCCACCCTATTATCGAAATCCTTCTGGCGTTCTGAAGTTTTGAGTTGATGGAGCGGAGTCAATACCACTCACCGCCAGGCTTCTAGCTCGTTTCTCGGCCTCAACTTGCTCAAATATTTCGTTTGGGATTCTTTCCGAAAGAACATCGAGCATTTGGCCGACAATCGGGTCGGTATTGCGCTCAAGGAGCGCCTTTAGAAGTTCGCTCACGCTCAGCTTTTTGAGGTCTTTTTCGTCTGGACACGCGTCTGAATTGAAACCTCCCACGTGTGAGCTATTTCCTTGGGACAAGCCGTCTGAAACAGTTTCCCTACGCCTAGTTGTGCGATCAAACTTGAGGGGGGCATGATATGGTAGATATAATGACCGATATCAAAGAAGAGCGCGCCAAAGAAAAACAAAAAAACTCAAATTCGCAGATTGGTTGATATGTTAAAAGAAGCTATAAAGAGAACAAAACAAAAAAAAAGTTAGAAAAGCAACCAACAATAAAGAGTGATCACCAGAAACTCAAATAAAAAGAAAAAGAGAGAGCAATGAGAGGAAACGGAAACACAGCCACCCACGACGTTGGTGTTGATGAGAATATCGATGCAGTAGATCCGGACTCGAAAAACGATGTTATTTTCATAATTCTTTTCACCAATGTCAGGATTAACTATGTTTTTTGACCTCGGAAAATATCGAAATATTTCTTGGCAACAAAAACTATTTAGCCCATACGACTTGTGGAAAAAAAAGGTTTAATCTCACTTTTGGGACGCAATCTCATATCTCGGAAGAAACTGATTTTGCAGAAAGCGTGACATAATCTTAGGTCGGCGAATCCTTGTGTCGAATGTAAGGAATTTTGAGACTGAAACGCTTTTTCAGTCTCAAAATTCCTTACAAAGAGAACTCCATCCATAAGAAGAACGCATATAGACAGGAATACGACCAAAGCAAAGCTAGCAATAGACCTCAGGAAAAATGCCGTAGCTACGAGGCTTTTGACTTTCTTGACTATAGTTAGGGTTGAAGTCTTGCCAATGGAACGAGTGTATCGCACTCAGCGTGAGAATAGCGGTAGACTAAGAATTCGCGTCCTAAAAATTTAAACTAAACGCTTGTTCTATGTATTCACATTTATTCGCATCATATTCAGTTGCAAGCTTCGATATGATGCGGATTAAAATGCGCAAATTCTTCGCATAGACTGTAGAAGGCTAGAAAAGCCGTTGTCGAATACGTCGATATCGTCTGAGCATACTGAGCAGATGTATTCTATGCTGGTCAAAAGTCGCGTTACGACACGACGAAATTCGCTCCACCGTTTTCCATTCCCAGGATGCACAGAGTCTAAGAATGGTTTTTAAAAGGTGCTCCAAAAAAGTAACAAACTACGTCACAGAATGCTTGAACATAACAGAAGGAAAACTGAACTGTCGCAACGTCTTGCATCAAGGCGGCAAACGTAAATCAAGAGAGTTTTAACAATACCGTCAAAGCGAGGAACAGTGTAACAACATATGTTAGAAGATGGAATTTTGCAAATACATTCAAGGAGTTCATAAACGGAGGAACGGGAGAGTACTTCGACCGAAGGAGGAGTGCTACAAGTTGTACGAGAAGCTGAACCGGGCAAATAAGTTGAATCAGATCGGAAAGAGAAAGAAGAAGGGCAGCCAGAACTGTCTGCCACCTCTTCGTCACGTTTTATTGAAGCACTCGCTAGCTCTGGGCCTTGTGAATATTTTCAACTCCCGCGCAAGCGAGCAGATAGAGCTCAAATTCGTTGGCCCTTCTGCAAAATTCTTGAGAGTGATCGCGACGATGAGGATTTGTTTCATGAGTAGAAGAACGAGAAGGACGGCAATCAAAAGAAGAAGAATGTGCATTATGGCAAAGCGATCTGCGATCTCACAGTGGATCCGTGCGGATGAGCCCAAGTACCTCCAATGCAGTAGCAAGGCTCCTAATGTCGTGCTTTAGCGGCCTGAACACACCTGCCATTGCATCTGAGATGTTCGATGTGGATCACCTGAGAAGTTCATGTACTGATATCAATACTGTCGTGAGACTATTTCAAGTTCTACCATTCGGGCTTTGGAAAGAGCTTGCACGGAGGAAAAGGGTGAGCAGCAAACAACAAACTACAGGGTGCAAGCGAAGACAGCGAAGCAATGCCTTGCCGGGCGGGCTGTACTTGAGTTGCGACCATTACCTTATACCTTATATTATGCCTTACACCTTATACGACTCGTCTTCACTCATGTGCGAGCACCAGCAACAAACCATTTGCTTCTGTCTTTCGCGATCGCCAACCACGGTACACTCAAGATTTGATGAAGGTGGCGATGTGAGGAGGCGTTCAGCTGCTGTCGCTGCTGTCTCACATAAACGACAAGCACATCCCCCATCTCGCAGCAGGCTTACCCTTAGATCGTGAAGATCCTATGGGAGCGCACTTCTTCTTGTCCATCTGTCATTATCTCTTCTCATTATATAACCGGCCCACCGAAATTCTGCGTTCTTCATGTATTCCACCGGATCGCGAAGTCGAGACATTCTGCGCATATCGGAGCTGCGCAGTCCGGCTCGATATTATTATATATATTATGAGTTGGTTGAACCTTGAAAGACATCGCTCGAGCGCTCTGTGTTCAGAGCCCTTGACGTGGATGCACTGGTCACCCAAGTCTCCGACCTGTAGCATAGCGCAGGAAGAACTGTGGAATCGAACAGATTAGCGCGATGTTTCGAGTCTGATGGTTGGTGACATCTTTCAGAGGTCCGGTGGCTGCCCACGCTGCTTTCTGTCGCCTCACCAGTTCTTCTGAACGTATGACTAGGTCTCCTCGTTGGGTGTACCATCGATCTTGATTTGACCTCCGTCGGCCCAAGCATTCTTCATGAACTGTGTCTTCGTTTGGGTGATCCGCAGCCTTACCTTCTTTCCTGCTTTGTACAGCTCAGCAAGCATAGTCTCAGCTTTTCAACCAATGCTGCTTGAAAAGAGGACGATGTCGTCCGCAAAGCGGAGATTTGAGATTAACCGTCCGTTCACACGAATGCCCTTTTCTCCCAGTCGAGCGACTTCATAACCCACTGCAGCGCGGCTGTGAATAGCTTTGGCGAAACAGTGTCGCCTTGTCTCACACCCTTCCCTATGGGAATGGGGAGAGGTCGTTGGAACAGCTTCACCGTCGCGCTGCAGCGACTACTGCAGTCAGCTAGTGTTCTTATGTAGGGAGGGTCCACTCCTTGATCGACCAGTGCTGACAGGACCACATTCGTTTCGACGCTGTCAAAAGCTTTTCCATAGTCGACAAAGGCGAGGACGAGAGGCATTCGGAATTCTCGGCACACTTCGATGACCATTGCGACCGCTTGGATGTGGTCTAAGCAGCTGAATTCCTTTCGGAATCCGGCCTGCTCTACAGGTTGAGCTTCATCCAGCGTTCGCGATGTGCGGGTCAGAATGATTTTCGTGAATAGCTTGTAAAGCACACTTAACAAGCTTATTGGGCGGTAATTGCGAAGATCACCCCGCTCTCCCTTTTCGTGAAGAACGACCATCCACGAGCTCCTCCGCTGGTTGGAGATCTTCTCCTGGAAATATTATGTCATATGTGTTGCGAGAAGCGCATGAAGTTTTTAGCCCCCTGCACGGAGTGGGTCGGCTGAGATCTTGTCGGGGCCTGGAGTTGTGCCCATTTTCATGCTCGTAACCGCAACCCTCACTTCCGAAGTGAGGATCCGAGATGCTGTTCTGCCAGTGGGGATTTTAGGTTTTCGCATGTGTGTCGTGGAACGGTAGAGTTTGATGTAAAACCTCCTTGTAACTTCCTCCATCTCAGATCTCGATGTTGTAAGTATTCCGTCCTCCTTCTTCAAACACGAAAGTGTCATACTGTGGGCCTGAAGATCCCGATGGCATTCTCTCAGACTAGTTCTATTCAAGGCTGCCTCCATTAAACTCCTCTCCCTGTATAGCTGAGGGTCTCGCCGCACTGCTTGTCTGCAGCTTATATTCGCTTGCTGTTCTGAGAAGATCCTTCGTCGCATCTGAAATGCGTGCGGAGGAATCCACTCGCGGAAGCTTAGCCTGTTCAGAACAAGTGAGGAGACCCCAACCAGCGCGTCGTAGTCTTCGGTCGGGTCATCCAGGACCTGCCAGTCATATCTGGACAAGACGTCATTCAGAACATCTCCGTCGTATACAACATGCTTCGAGCTTTTTGCGCGATGTTGAGAAATCTTTTCAGCTTGTGACTGAATACTATCTTAGCGCGGAGGATTCGATGATCGTAACCACTGCAAAAAGATGGTACAACACCAACATCTAGTAAGCACCACTTTCTATTTGTTAATATGTGGTCCAGCTCAGCACGAATTGTACCATTTGAAGTCTCCCATGTCCAGCGGCTATGTTTCTTCTTCTGGAAGAAAGAAATCTCATAGAAGAGTCGATCCGCGGACAGGAGTCCCGCTAGACGGTTTCCGTTATCGTTCCTGTCCCCGATTCCGAACTTTCCAATCCTGAACTCCTCCTCTTGTGCTTCGCCAAGCCTAGCGTTGAAATCTCCAACAACGAATTTGTAGAAGGACTTTTCGTTGTGGATGATTTCCTCAAATTGGTCGTAAAACGCATCGAGCTCTACTTCGTCATCTGCAGAGTGTGGAGTGTAGCAGTTGACGATAGAGATGGTCTTCAAGTGCGTATGTCGTAGGCGCAGGATGGCAAAGCGAGGAGACAGGATCTTGTGAAAATCGACGAGATGGACGACAGATGGGTGCACGACGAAACCAGCGCCGACGACGTTTCGCGATGGGAGCTTTTCACCACGAATGATGAGGGTTCAATCGTTCATTCTTTGCACGTCGGTTCTCCTGCTCTTGCTTTCTTGCAGCGCAATCACATAGTATTAAATGTGAGTAGCCGCATCGAAGAGCTCATGGAGAGCAGCATTGGAAGAGACTGTTCTCGCGTTGTAGGTGTAGAGTAGCAAACAGTCTCTGTGTCGTGTGGAGAGAGTGCTGTCATAGTCCAAAATCCAAGGCGCCCTGCGCAACTCGAGTTTTCTTCTCTTGTCACCGTCCGACGCCGGAGACGGCTGGGCCCAGTGTGCGGGGTACTGAGGCTGTTTTATTGTTGTTTTAGCAAGCTTGCAACTGAAGTCTCAACACTGCCTCGCCGGGGCCAGGTAAGTCTTCACCATCGTGGCTATAGCTATTCTGGATCAGAAGGAGCTGAGACCTACTCTTAGCCGTTCAGACATGCAGACGAGCCGTTGAACTATTAGTTATATATATATATATATAT